TGTACTGCTGCTCCTATTTCTTATGATCTAAGTAATGCTTATGCTTACGATGGTGAATATTAGTTTCCATCCTACTGCTTATCCCTCACCTCTTTCCAGTCACCAATTGAACCATATCTCTGCCCTTCTTTCTTACGGGCTGGGAGTTGTTCTGATTGGAGTATTTAATCTTGGTGAATTATTTAAGAAATTGTATAAAAAGCAGAATAACATTAGCATTTATTGTTGCCTGAGGCAGGGCTGTCCCCATATTGCAGCTTATTTATCCCTCACCTACTAAGGTCACTTGATTCAATGCTAGAATGTTCACCATTAGAAAATGCTTCAGTGTCACTACTGCCTATTGGATTGAAAGGTGCTGTTGACAATGCTGCAAAGTGAGCTACACAGAGCAAAAACTTAGGAGGGCCACTCAGCAACACATCCAATCAGAGCCTTTGTCAGAACATTAAACAAAAGAACAAAAACAGAAGTTGCTGGAAAGGCTCAGCAGGTCTGGCAGCACCTGTGAAGGAAAAAACAGAGTTAAGGTTTCCGGTCCGGTGACCCTTCCTCAGAACAGTTCTGAGGAAGGGTCACCGGACCCGAAATGTTAACTGTGTTTTTCCCTTCACAGATGCTGCCAGACCTGCTGAGCCTTTCCAGCAACTTCTGTTTTTGTTCCTGATTTACAGCATCCGCAGTTCTTTCGGTTTTCATTAAACAGAAGAGCTGAACAGCACAAGTGAGGTGAGAGTGATTGCTATCAAAGGAGAAATTAATGGACTGTGTTATCAAGGAGACTGAACTAAATGCAAGTCAATATGAGAATTAAGGGCAATATTCTCCACTATCTGATTTCAGACTAACATACTAATCAAGATGGTTTCGGTGGTTTGAAACCCTTCACTCCAGTTCCAGATCATTTCTGCAGGAGGTCCTTAGGGTAGTGCCGTGGGCCCAGCTATTTTCTGCTGCTTCATCAATAGCTTTCTTTCCAACACCAGGTCAGAAGCCCGAATGTCTGCTGATGATTGGACAATGTTCAGCACAATTTGTAACTCCTCAGATACTGTAGCAGTCCATGGCAGATATATTATTTCTGACATTAAAATCACAAAAGAAGTTCTATATGACTGTGAGACAAAGTAAAATATATCTTCTCATTCTTCAGCACCTATCTACAGCATTTGTCACAGTTGTTTATGTTATCTTCCTCCAACATTTTGACCATCGTCTGGTTCCATTCTGAACAATTTAATCATAGCTAAGAGAATTTACCAGTGATCTATCTTCTTATCCCTGCATAGTTATCTCTCATGACTTTCGCACAGATCTAATTAGAATCATAGAATCCCTACAATGTGGCAGCAGGCCCTCGAGTCCATGCCGACCCCGTGAAGAGCATCCCACTCATGCCACCTCCCCCACCATTTTGTCCCTGTAAGCCTGCATTTCCCATGGTTAACCCACCCAGCCCACACATACCTGTACACTACGGGCAATTTAGCGTGGCCAATCCACCTAACCTGCACATCTTTGGACTGTGGGAGGAAACCGGAGCACCCGGAGGAAACCCACGCAGACACAGGGAGAATGTGCAAACTCCATACAGACAGTTACCTGAGGCTGGAATTGAACCTGGGTCCCTGGCGCTGTGAGGCAGCAGTGCTAACCACTGAGCCACCTCAATCTGTTCTTGCTAACCTCTTATTCCTCATCTGCTTGCTACCCCTTGATGGCACTGCCCAAATGCACATTCCTTTCCGGACCTCAACTCCTCCATTATCGTGGAATTGTCCATGCTTGTATGGTATCCTGTCAGAAAAGTAGAATTATTTTGTAATTAAATGATTGGAAGATTAAAGCCCTTGCTTTCAGCCATTATCGTAAACTCCACTCCCTCACTACCAATTCCGTCCCTCTCCCTGACAACTATCTGAGGTCAAACCAAACTATTCACAACTTTGCGGTCATATTTAATCCTGAGATGAGTCTTCAACCAACCATCTGTGCCATCACTAAGAACGCCTATTACCACCTTTGAAAACATCAGCCAATTTCACCTGTTCCAGATGCAATGTGACTGGTCAAACTACTTGACGTTGAGCTAAACACAATTTATTTAAAATACAGCTAAAGAAAGAGGAATTTTGAATAACGTAATTCTATTGGGAGATGAAGTTGAATAATATATGCAGTAACTATTGCTAATTAACTGTTCCAATATAGTAACATCCCATAAACACACCCCTTGGCAAAATAGGAAAATTCAGGCACAAATTCTCACATGCAGTTCTCCAATCCAGGAGGAAAACACATGAAGAGAAAATTCAGAGAGAGTAGCAGCTAGGAGACTTTTGCTGAAGCTCCCAAATCTTTTGAGACCACAATAGCTTAAAGCTAAATCTAAAAAATTACAAAGAAAACTCAAAAGCCTGGTCTGCGAGAGCTGGCCACATCTCGGCTGCTTCCATTGTTCCAACTTAAAAAAAATAAGCCCCAAGGCTTAACAAATTGTTTACTTGCTTCCAGGCAGCTCAGCACCTCTGCCTTACAATTTCTCTTTGAAAACACCAGGACAAAATTATCTCTTAGAAGCCACAGCATTGTCACACCTTTTACCTTCAGTTTTGACTATTCTAAGATAGTCCTGGCCAGCCTCACACATGGCTTCCACAAACATGAGGCCATCCAAATTTCTGCTGCCTGTTCCCATATTAATTCCATAAATCATTGAAAACCATTCCCGTGCCCATTAATATACACTGACTCCTGACTAAGCAACATCTTGAGTTTAAAACATGGCATCCTTGTTTTCAAACCTCACTATGTCCTTGCCCCGCCTACCTTTGTAATCTCTTCTCCACCTCTTTAATTTCCTCAGGTCCTATAACCTTCAAAGATATCTGCCTTCATCTACTTTTGGCACCCCTCAATTTTAATTGTTCCACCACTGGTAGGTACAATTTAGATCTGGGAACACTTTTAAGACCCTTCTTAAAATCAAATGCTTTGACCAAATTTTCAATCACCTGCCTTAGTTGCTGCTTTGTGCTCACAGTCATGGTTTGTTCTGTAATACCTCAATCAACCTTCTTGGGACAGTTTATTATGTTAAAGGTGCTTTATAACCACAGGTGACTGTTGTTGATATTCCAGGGTTTGTTGAGCCTCAGGGCCTTATTTCAGTAAAAGGTGGGCGTTGTGAGAATAAAACATGTTTTCTTCAAGAGACAACAAGGTGCAGAGCTGGATGAA